CTCTCTCTCTCTCTCTCTCTCTCTCTCTCTCTCTCTCTCTCTCTGTCTGTCTCTGTCTCTCTCTCCTGTCTCCCTCCTCTTCTCTCTCCTCTCTCTCTCTCCTCTCTTGGTTCCTTTCTCGCTCCTCTGTCCTCTCTAGATTGTCTTTCTCTTCCCCTCTGCAATCCTGATTGAACTAAGACGTGTTGCTGCAATATGGAGAAACCTCTTGTGCATCTATCTGTCTCTGCCACATGCATGGGATGCAGCCTGGGCGCTCCATTAGTATTCACTGAATAGCTAGCATGTTGATTTCCTTAGATCATAAAGGACCATGACTGCCTTGATTTTTCCAATGGAGAATAAGAAGCCATTGAAAGCTGTTGCGCTGAGTCACAGATGACAGGCAGCAAAAATGTGACAGAGGTTCACCTGAGGTTTCAGAGGAGAGAGAGCGAGGGAGGGGTGTTTTAGGAGCCGTAGATGTAGTTCAGAGAGTAAGTTCTAAAGTCTTCTGTTGTTAGAATGATGAAGAAGTGAAGATAGAAGCCAGTTGGGGAAAGATTGAAGAATGAATGGGAATGTGGCTCAGTGGTACTGTGCTTACCCACTATGTACAAGGCTTCAGGTTCCATTCCTAACATGAAAGAGAATGAAAAGGGAATATCATTTACCTCCCTGTCATTAGATATGTGGACATCTAAGCAGAGGTACAGAAATGGGTCGCAAGCCAGAAGAGCCACAAGAATCAAATAGAAGGTATTTCTTTTCTGGAGTGGGTAGGATCTGATCCTTTGTAGACAGGGGACCTGGAAGCAGAGAGATTGGAGTGGTAGAAAAAGAAGGTGATGATTGAAAGGGCAGGGCCCAGGAGAGGGTAGAACAGGAAACCACAGAGTGGAGAAAATAGGAATGCATCTTCCTCTAGAACGGAAGCAAACAGATAAGTAAGCAGACACTCAGGCTGGAAGGGGGGCAAGAATGGCAGAGATTGTGCCTGGTGTAGAACTTTCTCAGGAAAGTGGAAACCACATCAGTGTATCAGGAGCTGGGACCCAGGACTGTCTACAGGAGAGTTTGAACTACCCAATGTGTTAGGTGTGCCCAAAAGTCAAATATGGGGTGCACAGAGAACATGTAGCAACAACCACCAAGTTGTGCCACTGAGGCGCAACAGTTTGACTTTACAAGTCCAAATCCATAATGTTCTGGAGCAGGATGAGAGAGAACATGTGTCAGGCATGGTCCCAGCGGGACACTGCATGCCATAGACCATAGGAAAGAGAGTTTAGTATTACCAGAGTAGGGTTAAATTCTCTAATTGATGCTATCCAGACATACAAGAAAGATGAATAGGGACAGAAAAAATGACAGATTCATTCAGCTACCATGGGAGGTTTCAATGGAGACATTGAAAAGGTACATGTGACAAGGCTATCTGTGCCTATAAATCAGACTCACCAGATTGGGACCCATGGTCCAGCCACAGCTTGGTCAGAGGCAGGTTTTGTAGGTAGAACACTGTGAATTGCCAGGGTACTATGGCAAGTGGCACTGTCCTTTTCAAATCAAATGAAAAGGCAGCTGCCATGGAGGCTTTGGAAGACGAAGGCTGGGGGTTACAGAGAAGTGGCTCTTCAAACCAGGAGAGTCCAAGAGCCATAGCTAATGAGGACTCAACATGTTCAGGATACACTTTGCCCTTCTCTCTTCAGTAACCTTTTCCATTCAGAACCCGAGCAGAAATCTAGTTCTTTTACATCTTAGCTGCTGTTTGTAGATTATCTGTACCAGACACAGCCTCTATTATTTCAAGGTACAGTTTGTAGCATGCCCTGCCTCTGAACATGACTACATTTAAACTTTCTTAGAAAGATGATTAGTGACAATTCCCTTTCAAATGTCTAGGGAATAGTGCCATAGAAACCTTTCATAATGACACAACAAAAATATACGCTTGCAGCTTCCTCTTGGCAAAGTAGCAGCCTCATTTGGGAAGATAACTATATTAGGAGATCATGATATATGGGTGTGTGCGTGTGTGCGTGTGCGCGTGAGCGTGCATGTGCACGCGCGCGCGCGCGCGCGCGCGTGTGTGTGTGTGTGTGTGTGTGTGTGTGTGTGTGTGTGTGATTTCTGCCTACCAAATCATGAAGTTTCTGGTTAGCTAACATGTGATCTGATACTGTTCAAATAAGACCTGTAATTATTAGAAGGAATACAAAAATCTATTATATCTAAATTAAAAGAAATTGAATGAAAAATATCACCCATATTAGGTCACAGAGTGACTTGAGTTTATGAACAGAAATGTTTGGGTGTACTTAGGGTAGCTCCCCGAATAACCCCACTGCTCCACTGCAGAGGGAGAACCATGTGAAATTTGGGGTGATATTATCAACCTCAATAAGGCTTCAGAATCGCCCCACTGGTGGTCCTGGCTCAGATCCTAGAACTTCGATGAAAGCCTTTTGGGCAGCAGTGAGCAAGACCCCCGCTGCCCTGACTGGATCAAGTCTGGTGAGCCTCCAGCAACATTTCTTTAAACTTCAGCTGAGAGCTCCAAGAAGGGTACTTGAGATTTTCATTCAACAATAACATTTTAACTGCTGCTTCCCTCCCTCCCTCCCTCCCTCACAGCTCCGGATGTCCTGGCTCATCCACGGGGTTTTAAATGGAAACGTATCCCTGGTGCTGGTGGAGAACAAAACTGGGAAGGAGCAAAGCCGAACGGTCTGGCATGTGGCCACCAATGAAGGCTTAAGCCTGTGGCAGTGGACAGTATTGTCGCTCCTCGATGTGACTGACAGGTGGGTTACTCTCCATCCATGCCTCCTCCGTTTTACTGTACAAGGCCCAGTGGATATAGGAGAATGAAGTAGGATGGTCTCCCAGTTCCCACACCCTTTCTCTAAGACATTTTCTTAGTTATTTTTCTCATGGCTTTGACAAAGTACCGATGAAGGCAACTTAAAGAAGGAAGGGTTTATTTGGGCTCATAGTTTGGAGGTTTAATTCATCATAGTGGTGATAACTTGACAGTTAGAGCATGAGGCAACTGGTTACATTGCATCCACAGTGATGTAAGCAGACAGCAATAAATGCGGTGTTTAGCTGGCTTTCCGCCTCTTTCTTCACTCCAAGTGAATGGTACTGTCTGCGTTTAGATTGGGTCTCCTCACCTCGGTTAACCCCGTTTAAGATCTTTGTCACAGACATGCCCAGAGGTCTGTCTCCTGGACAATTCTAGATCCTGTCAAGTCAGCAATCAGTATTAACCATCACAAGCATGTAGACACAGACATGCACATCCCTTGCCCATTACTAGGAGTGCGAGATTCTTCAAGGGATGTTGGGCTAATGAACACTCCTCTCCTGCAGCTCTCACCTGGCCTGATTAGCTTCCTTCAGGATCTGTCTGTGGAAAGAGCAGAAAATGAGGCTCTTGAGCTACTACCAAATAATCCTGAGGTTTCGTATATCTATGGCATTTCTTCTCACTTGATGGATGCTGTCTCTCTTTCCCATTTGCCATTTTCTTTTCCCTCATTAACAACAAACCTCAATGGGTGAGAAAGCTTTACCACTATTCTCTACTACTCTTTTAAAGAGGAGATGCTAAAAATCAAAGGAACAAAGGACCCACGAGTTGACCTCAGAGCCAAGACGGAACCCACAGGCTCTATTGATTCAGCTCAGGGGGTGGGTTGACAAAGGTAGGTGCCAGGTTCTTCACTAATCGGAGATGAGCTCTGCCAGGGACCCTGGTTCTTATCATATTCTACTACTAATGACCTCTGTGACCTTGAACAAGATCCTGTTGTCCTTTGAGCCTCAGTTGTCCCCACTTCCGAACTGATAGGGAGGGTTGGGTGACAAGATCTTCACCTCCACATGGCACTGGATTGGAGCAGAAGCCTGTGGAGTTCAGCTGCCACTCATCTCCCTAAGATGGCACTACCCTGCCACCTGCAGTCAGCCTGAAGCAAGCAGTGCTTGAGAAAAAGGCCTGGCCCAGCAGCATTCCCGTGACACTCTGCTGTGCCATACTAAATGTTCCATGGGTGGTGCAGATGTGTTCTACAGCAAAAGGCAGGACACGGTCACTTCTACAGAGAGAACTGGAAGGGAAAACTATTTGATATTGGCTAAACATCCATCTCTACCATGAGGCGAAGCCTTCAGAACAGTCTCACAGAATATACTCAAATTGCCATTCTGGTGAACCCCCCTTTGAAATACGAGGACCAAAGGTTCAAGACAGGGCAGAGAGTGATGCATGTTGTCATGAGTGTGAGTTTGGGCTTTGAATTCTTCTCCCAAACCTCATAATGTGCTGTTGCCCTACAGCTTCTAATGGGAGCTCTACTGTCGCAGGGAGAACCCCCCCCCAACTGTAAACAGCAGCCACCCACTCCTTTAGATGTATGTGACTTGATGATAAAAGCCATGGATGTCCCCAGGCTCAATGACCCTGGGACAAACATATTTAATTAAATTGAATTAAGGGAGAAATGGGGGCGCCACCTCCACAGGCTGGTCTTTTATTCTTTGGAGGGGGGGTGCGTTGCACGCTGGGATAAGAAACTCACGGGAGATGCTGGAGCCCTCCTTCCTGGGAGATGTCAAATTAATTCTGGTGAATCAAAGTGTTGTTTTTCCCCTCTGTCCTCAATCCAGCAAGTTTTCTCTTTCATAGCCACTCCAGGGGATTTAAAACAAGCAAATGTTGACTCTGCTCGCTCCCCTCTGCTGGAGATTTGTTTGATGGAGACTTTGTTTCCAGCCTCCTCCCCACCGCTGAAGGCTGTTTAGCAGACTGATATTTCCAATATTGACACTGAGACCAAAGTGTCCAGTGAGGATTCAGGCAAAAGCCAGCCTGTTTCTCAATGCATTGTGACCTAATTCATTCATAGTTATTGTGGAGGGGTCTCTCCATTCACAAAGAACCTGCCAGCCACCAACATGCTCCCAAAGCTAGAGGCAGTGTGGGAGGCATGAAAACTGGAGGCATAAGATGAGGAGTCATGGGTGAACAGACTGACAGTTTCACTTCCTAAAATCAAACTAGACTGTAGCAGTGACTGGAGGATGAAGCTGGAAGGGAACTCTGAAGAGTAAGTCTAGGCTTTCCAATCAAGCAGTCACAAGTTTAGCTAGCTACATGACCTCGTCCCATTTATTGAATCTCCCAGAGCCTCATCATCCCCTCCTCTAATCAGTACACCTTCACCAGATTGTTATGGGAATAAATAATATGATTATCTAAAGAATCTATGCTTAATAGCGTGTCAGAGTTTTCGTTTCACCATCTTTCATTCTAGCCTTTAAGTGACCTCATAAGTAATTTATTGAACAAACAGTGCAAATCCAGCCCCTGATCTTCCAGCATAAGGCATGTTCTTCAAAACAGAGACTTACAGTTGCCTCTTAGGTTTGGGGAAGAAAGGCGTTTGATGAACTCCTTGGTCCACACTAAAATGCTTAATCAGTAAAAACTGCTAATAAGGAATATAATTAAAAATGACAATAGCTCACCCACACAATGCCTCAGAAGAGGCTGGCATAGTCAGCTTAGAAATGATATCCAGGCATGTGAACCGTAAGGATGAGGTTCTTGTGACCATGTAAGTCATCAGTATTCTGTTGGGTTCTAGTTACATGGAGGGGCAAGAAGTGTGTTCTCCTGCCTTCCTCCTAGGAGAGAGAGCTCTGGCTGCCTGGATTGCCAAAGTGAAATGGGAGAAGGGGGGAAGGAGAGGAAGAGTACAATTAGGGAAAGAGAAAAAGAAGAGGAACAAAGGACAATGGCAAACCAGCTCCCTTCTCCCACCTAATGAGGTAGACCTTAACACTATATATCCATCCATCTGCAGTGTTGGTCCCGAAAGGCTCCCTTAGGCAGACCCTGACTTCTGCTGTTCAGCACCTTGCTCCTTAACGGCGCCCCAACCCCACACCTTGCAATCATTAGAAACTTTATCCCCTATGCTTCCTCAAATCACCTCTACTCCCAGAGTCTCCAACCTCTACACATTAGGAAATACTCTTATCAGCCCTATCAAAGATAAGAGTCCCATAGCCCCTGGACAGCCCATGAGCAATCCTTTTAGACATAAATCCATTCATTTCTCTAGCTTCCTGTGGCTTTGAGGGTACCTCCTATGTTCTTTAATAAGACCTTTATTTAAGGTTATGTGTGCTGTGTCCAACCCCAACTTCAGTGTCTCGGACCATCCATTCGCCCTTTCTCCCTCTCTGCCCCAAACTCCTCTCCACTCAATGGTACCATGCTATACTATAAAATCCCTTACCTCCAGCCTTCGCATCTTCCATTCTCTCCGCACTAATATCCTTCCTTTGCCCTCCCCGCCCCTCTACATATCACTCCTCATTCACTTTTTAAAGAAGTCTTCCCTGACCCCTGGGCTATCTGTGTGCCTACAATGTGTCCTTGTGACTCTCGAGACATCCCCGGGCTTTTTTGTCACTTTATGACTTTTTTTAAAAAAAATTTGACTTGGTTCATGAGGCAGAGATCGTGCCTCTATCTTATACGTCACTGATTTCTAAACCCAGTACCATGCCTAACATCTAGGAAACTCAATAAACCTGCGTTGGCAGAATATGTATTGAGAAAAATGGAATGTAGCTCCAAAGCCCAGCAGAATGAACTGAGAATTCCCCAACTCACCACTGGACGCCATCCAACACACCTCCTCTGTCCAACCTGTGTCTAGCAAAACAGACAAAACCACTTTATAATAAACACGACCACAAAGTGTCCCATATATCAGAGCAGCAGCTGCGTCCCATCAGAAGAGCCAAAACAGCATTTGTTAACTCTCATGACAGGGAACCCTCTTTAGAGACTTGCATGGTGCCTGTGCTTTCTTTGTCTGTGGTCACTGTCCTGTCAGAATCGCTTTATAAGAAAGACTTTGATCTTAATTGTGTGCCCTGGTGCCTGTGAGTTGGGAGCTAGAGCTGAGCACGGAGACCAAAGAACAGTAGTCAGATTGCTCCCACACCACAGCAGCCCTGCAAAACTCAGTGACTGGGCCACGGGTGTAAAAGGTCGGCATCCTGGATCTGTGCATCCATGAATCTCATTTCTTCTGTCCATTCGCAACTAGACCAAATGATCGAAGAGACATAATTGCCGTCATCATTGTGAAATTATCATAATTCTACAACCAGACTGCAAAGAGTAGCAAGGGGGGGAAATCCCAAGAGCAGTTTCCTGGGATGTTTTGAGCAGTGACAACATCCTTAGAATACAGATATGTCCTCTCAAGGTAGTTTTGAAGGGCAGCACCAATTCAAATGTGAGTTTGGAAGTGTTAAAGGCCTTGTCATCCACCTTGGGTAACTACGGTTCCCCTCTTCATTCTCTCCCCAACCTCTTTCCCTTCTCAAATGTGGACGCCATTATTTCTGCTGGAATTAATTTTACCTTTCTTCAAAATGGAAGAAAAGCAGGTTCTTCCCCACCCCCTTACAATAACCACCAGCCTCTTCCAGGGATATCTTCCTGGTATTCCTCTTCACAATCAGCTAACTTGCTAAACACAGTGTTCCCTGCCGCCCTAAGCTTTGCCACACTTAGAGCGGAGGCTGCTGCATGGGGCTCATTAGGAGATGGATGCAGAGACACCATGGATCAAATCATGTCCCACAAATCACTGCGATCGCACAGTCAAATGGAAAGTGTGTAACTTATCACACCTGTGTAAGCTCCGTTTCCCCAACACTGTCATTAGGAAGGCTTTTAGCTGTATGCTGTATACGTAGTCTAACAAGAAAA